AGAGTGCTTACCCTTTTATGGATGTGGAGAGACTAGAGCCCTGGCTGTTTCACCCTGCTGCTGAACTCGCACGTCTGCTAAACTTGCCTGTTTATTCCCTTGATCCAGACACTTTGTCACTGGAGTGGGCCTGCTTGTAGAAACCCTAAATAAATAGCATGGGGCAAAAACTCCACCCCCCACTGGAGCCAATCACTGATTGGGAACTAACCAATAAAGGAGGATGAGCAAGTCAGCCTCTGGTTCATTAATAGGACTTGCTGAAAGGAAGCTGCTAAGACCTCCTCTCCTTCTCAGGCTGCCTTTTACTTCAAATACTAATTTACTTTCAAATGTTAATTAGCCCTTCTAGGCTTGGATTAAAGGGGACTGTAGCTGAATAGCCTCTGCAGTTACAGAGGTACATCACTGCTTGTTTTCTTGTAGGGGAAAAAGGCCCCCTTCTCTAAATAATGTGAGAATTAGCTTAAAATTTTAGTTTAAAATGGGACTCTGTTTTGTTTTCAAGCCCCAGCTGTATTTAAACCCTAGCTGCAGTCTGTTTTATTTGCTTTGCTTTCCTTTTTCTGTGACAAAAACCTGCCTAAGGTTTAGCCTTATCTGTGAACTCACTATCCCTAGTCTCTGGTATTAGTACTTTAATCTATAGGCATAGTAACGTTCCAAAGCTAAGCTTAAGATAGCCCTGTGACCTCAGTTTTAATCCTTATCCTTTGTTTCACCCTCTGTTTAACCCTTCCTGTTCTGCAGTAAAACTAGCCAAGAATCTCTTAAGCCTGTTTTGAACTAAGGTCCCGGTCACACGGGCCTTAAAATGCGAGGGGGGGGGGAGTGTGGCAGTTTGGCCTGGAGCAAAATAACACGCGGCTGCCCGATCACAGGTCCCGTGGGTAGGGGCGAGGTGGCGATCACACGACGATCCTGCAGCGCAGCAAAGAAGCGGCGCGATCTCACCAACGGCATGCATGATTCTGCAGAGCAACGGAACTTTCACTTTCATGAGCATGCGCTGTTGGGTGCTTGTGCGCATCCTGTGGAGACTTGGGGGAAAAAACCTGTTTGCGATAGGACATGGGCGGGCACCGGATGAGACGGACTACCACCGGAAACACGATCAGACGCCAGCCCTTGCCCCGCGGTTTCCGGAAACTAGTACCTCGGAGGTATTAGTTTTTAACTCTGCATCTTCAGCGGGAAGCCTCGGGTTCGCCATGGGAGCTCTACGCTTCCCAGATGTTGCGGTGTGATCGCGCCCAGAAAATCCGCCTATCATCCGTCTCAGTAGCGTGGCTAATGCTCCGTGTGACTGCAGCCTAAATTTAGCTACACCTGAGCAATCTGAGCAACTACAAAACTGAGAAATTACACAATGTTGGTACCTAGCTATTTGCTCTCCTTACTATTTTAACCCTTTTTACTTAGCCTATCTGGATACAATTTTATATGAAAACAGATACGTAAAATATGTATTTAAAAAAGCCACTTACCCTCACACATCTTTCCTGTTCATTCCCTCATTCCAGACGCTTTGTCACTGGAGCAGGGCCTGCTACCTCATAGAGCTTAATGATAATCCTCTTTTCACCCCACTTGGCACAGTCCATGATTTGATGGGCCTCTTCACTCAGACACAGTTCTTCCCCCCTCCCAACCCCACACACTATTAAAACCATCTTTTCAATCTTCATCCTGGCTCTGTCCTTTACAGATGGGGCACCATAGAGCATCACAGAGTTTGAAGGGGCCGTATGTGCCATCTAGTCCAAGCCTCTGCTCAACGTAGGATCAGCCTGAAGCATCCCTGACAAGCATGCTGAATGTGGGCCCTGCCCTAGATTTATACGAGGGCACCGCTGTACACGAAGAGTCACCCTTAGAAAAAAGGCATTTAATAGATTTTTTCTGCTTTTATAATTTAAATAACTTAAAGATGGAAAAGAAAAACCCGACAAGGGTGAGACAGAGTTGGACCGCAGCTTCAAAAGGCGGGCGGGAGAGGAAGAGAGAGGAGAAACGGAGGATGTACTGTGAAAGCCCAATGCCCACCACCCACCCTGTGTGCCAGACCCCCTCCCACCCGTCCCCACCCCCCTCAGTCCCCTAGAGCCGCCGGAGCGCTCGCTTCTTGTCGGTCTTCTTCTTGGAGGCCAGCTTCTTGTCCCTGTCACCCGCATGTTTCTTGGCCATGGGGCCCTCCCCGGAGGCGCTCGCCGAAGAGGAGCAAGGCTCGGCGGGGTCCTTGGCGCGAAGGCCGGCCGACGGCTGCGCATGGATCTCAGTCAGGAGGCGGGCCCGGGAAGCATACTCCTCATAGTTCTCTAGCAGGAGGCGCCCCGCTTCCTCGTTCAGGGCCGACTCCGGGTTTGGGTGGATGAGCAAACACTTGATGGTCTGCAGCCGGAACGAGAAGGAAAAAAAGAGAGTCAGACAGGCCCCCCGGGAGCAGAGAGCCATCAAAGGAGTCCTGGCCCCAAAGCCCTGGGAGGTGCAAACATGGAACCACAGCTAACCTGAGTCCAAAGGCTCAGTCAGCCACTGAATGGCCTTGGGCCAAACTAATCTACCTCACCGTGTTGCTGCGAGGATGAAATGGGTAGAGAAGAAAACTGCAGGTGTGGTTCGGAGCTCCTTGAGGGGAGAGCTGCATAAAAAAACCTATCAGATAATGTTTCTTGTCCTGGGCAGGGAGGGTGCTGCTCACCAGAACTCTGCTTTCCCAGTCAGAACCCCACTGCCTCTAGGAAGCCTAAGTGACCAGGCTTCTTTCTGATGGGCAAGCTTCCTACAGGGCGGAGAGATGCTGGAAAGGGGGCAGCCACAGGAGGGCTGAGGAGACGTCGGCCCCAAGAGCTGTCCTGCACACTGGAACTGGCTCTCCTCCAGCCCGGCTGAGCTAGGATTCGAACCCAAGCCAAAGCCAATCACCCACACACACACAGCAGCCTTGTCCCAAGTTCCAGCTGATTTATCCAAGTTCTACATGGACTAATGCCTCATTCCTTAAACAACTTGGGGGGAGGGGAGATCAGAGAAAGTGTGGGACAGACACACCATAAGGACAGTCAGGCAAAAGAGCCTACGAGACCTCTTCCTGGCAGCCAATGGCAACGTCAGGGATGCCAACTGCTTAGAGAGGTTTTTCAGTTAAATCACCTGCCTTTGAACCAATTATATTTAAAAACATTTGCATATCATCAGAATGTCGTTGGAGCCACCTGTGGCTGAGCTAATAAGAAACTGCAAAGGAGATACTAGGAATACTGTCTACACACAAACCCTGAACTGAATGAATGAATGAATATGTGGGACATCATCCCACTGAAAGGGAGTGGAAATTGAAAGACAGCCCGACTCTTGATCCAGGAGGAGGAAACTATCAGGACTCACACCCTCTGCCTCCAGCAGAGAAGCCTATCAGCTTTTAAATTCAATAAAACTTTGCTGGTCTTAAAGGTGCCACTGGACTCTAAATTTGTTTTACTGTACCAGAAAGATCTCAACAAAGAAGTAGCAAGCCATCAACTGATTAAAGCATGCTCTTATCAGTCAACTAAAAGCTTTAGCCTGTCATCCTTCCCATTAAAGTTCACATGCTCCTTCCAAATTCTTCTAGGAAGTTTTCTCCTGCAGCCAGCCTTCCCCCTCAAATTCCCTGTATGGCTCCAGATCACGTTAAGCTTCCATGTCATACCAAGGTCTGCCCAGACACCTCTTACCAGGGCCTGGGTGAGCTGGTCAAACTTTTACTCTTTCAGGTGTTTCTTTAAAAAAAGCTTTGGCAAAACAAAAGTGTGGTCTGTATTAACAGGAATGAGTTGCAGCTTAGGAATCTGTACCCCACTTGAACATTTCAGGTCCCAGGAACAGTCCCTGGCAGCTTTGGTTGAAAAGCGTGTCAGGCAGCCAGTGTTGGGGAAGACTTCCCATGATTCTGCAAAGCCGTTGCTACCACCATTCATTAGAAAACACTGAGCTAGACGGACCAATAGTGTCCTCAAAAATGAGTCAGTTTCCTACATTTTTGGAAGTTGTCAAGGCCTGGGCTAGAGGGATGGCAGGTATGACTGCTTTGGGGTGGGACATCGGAGAGGCAGCATATACCTTTTCTAAATAAATGCTTGTTCTGGTTGCTGTTTCCCAAAAAGACCACTGCACCACTAGAAAAGGACAACCAAACCATCAGGGGGTTCTTATAAGGAAAAGTTAAGGAGCTCACAGATGTATAATTTAGAGTAGAGACCCCCCCAGACTTTTTAGGAATGTGAGCACCACGTCTGAAATTCTGAAAGAGGGTGGTGGATACAACCACAAAATGGCTGCACCAAGAGGCAGAGGTCACCACGGGGGGGGGGGGGGGAGAGGCTCTTCACCATTTCAGACAGAAGCTCTGTTTAACGCACTGGCTTTTAAAATGAACATATTGCTTAACAGTATTTTCTTGCATACACTTTAAGTGAACATACACATTGAGCTGGCTAAGAAACCCTCATCTGGCATTATCTGTCTTCGTTTTGCAGCATCCAACACATTTATGCAAAAGGAAAAAGATGCTTCTTCTCCTGGTTATCCCTTTTGATAGGAACATAAATGGCGTTTGAAAAGTGAACAAAATTTGATGTTGTGATATTATCACCAACTCCCACCTGAATTATAAGAATACATTCAAATTGGTAAGATCTGATGACGGTCAGACCCCTGCAGCAATCAGTTCCCAACAGCTTTCATTCAAAGAAGTTTATTGAGACTTTTGATCGTTTGCAGACATCACGGACACTCTGTGTTAGAACTGGCTAAAAGCATGTGAAACAAGCAGTATACATAATTCAAGGAGACCCCCCCCTAATGGCCAAGGGCCAATGAGGGATTCGCCCGCCAAACTGGCAATAATTCCCTGGAGAAACACTACACTGGGCACTGAAGGTCAAGCAGAGATAGAATAACAGTGAAGACACAGGAGAAATGAAAGTTAAAATTCCGAAGCCATCTCACCCCCATGGCAGCAGGACTAGACAGAGGCCTAGCTGACAATGACTTCATCAGAAGTTCCAGTTAGGTGCATTAAGCATTTTAGCCATGCAGCCCTATCATGTTTAGTCTGATGCAAGTTCTTGACCCTGCTATTTGCAAAAGTAAGCCCCTCGTCGCCTGGATGACCCAAGCTGGCCCAATCACATCTCACCTGGATGACCTAAATTAGCACAATCTCATCAGATATCGGAAGCTAAGTAGGGTCAACCCTGGTTAGTGTGTGGATGGGAGACCTCCAAGGAAGACCAGGATCATGGTGATGTGGAGGCCGGCAATGGTCAACCATCTCTAAATGTCTCTTGCCTTGAAAACCCTCAGAAGGCGCCCTGCGTTGTTTGTGACTTGACAGCAATTCCCACCACCATCATTTGAATAGCTAAAGTACTTGACATAAAAGCTACCGTCAAAATTATATCGTAAGCATCAGAAACTCCAGACGTCCCATTTGGCCCTGTCCGCCCTCTAAAAACACTCAGCGGGCACCAAGGTGCCGATGGACACCACAGCAAAGAGACTTGCTTTAGAGAAAAGGAGACTTCAGCCAGGATGGGTTAGGGACGTCATAAGTCTGTAAAAGTTATGTACGAGATGGAGAATGTGGCTGGAACGAACGTTCTGCCTCTTTCCTAATACTAGAACTTGCAGGCATTCGAAGAAGCCAATGAGAAATAGATTCAGGACAGGCAAGGAATTTGGTCCCACAAACAGGGGCTTAAGTTATTAAAGAAGTCACTGCTTCATGATGTAAGGGATTAGACAAATGCATGGAGGAGAACTCCATCCACAGCTACAATTCAGAATGATTAGAAAATATTGGGGGGTGGGTGAGGGTGGCTCAGCTTCCATGCCTGGCCTGTAGGTTTTCCAGAAGAACCTGGATCACCACCATGTGAAAACAGAATGCAGGACTACATGGACCACTAGTCTGACCCGGTACACTCATTTTTGTTATTCCAGTGCTGGTTCTGTACGGGTTTTTATCATGTCTCTGCATTGTGCTCACTGGAATGCCTTTCAGAGAGCTGTCCAGAAAGATGATGGCATATGTGTTTTGAACAACAACAAGAACTTAGCAGTTATTAATCTAGTTGCAAAACCTGGGCCTTGCATTTGGAGAGTGCCGGATTTCTCACCTGCAGGTTTTGACACCCCTTTGATTTCTCCACACCTCAGTGTAAAGAACACACCCATTTATTCTCAACACAATCACATCCCTTTCTGGCTCTCTGATCAAGACACAGAGGATTGCACTGACTGTGTTGGCTGCAGTGTCAAGGGGTGACTGTCCCTTCCCTCTGGAGTTGCTCAACAAGCCGAAACCTGCCAACAAGCCAGACTGGTTGGGCAGTAAGCCAAGGGACAGGCTGAGTTTGCTTGTGAAAAGCTTGGCAGTGATCAAACTAACCCCTTTGTGCCACGAGTTACAGCCAAAGCACCTGGTGATGGAAGACAGCCACATGTAACAGACACCCTAACATGGAAAGGAAAGGGAGGGCAGCCCAAGGAAAGGACAGAATAAGCTCAACTAGGCTAATATTTCCCATCAAGACACAATGGGAGGGTACACTGTGCACCAGGGGATGGAACGGTCATGTTTTTAGGACATAGTTCTGTGGTAAGACAAGTGTCCTTTGTGCATGCCAAAGGTCCCAAACTCTGTATGGGATCAAGAAGATAAAGACGCAAGACTGGGAAAGAGCTAGCCCGACCTCCTGGCAAGCTGCCAATCTGGATACTGGGCAAGATGGGCCAATGGATTGTCTCGGGACAAGACAAGTGTCACATGTTCAAGGTAAAGGTAGGAAGGGAAAGGAGCACACACACACACACACCACCCCCTCCTTAAAAAGGAGATCCCACTCCTGGATTCATGTGGTTAACACATAAAGCTGCCTTATACGGAATCCGGCCCTTGGTCTGTCAAGGTCAGTCTTGTCTGCTGACTGGCAGTAGCTCTCCAGGGCCTCCAGCAGAAGTCTACCTGATCCAGTGGCAGGGACTGAACCCGGGACCTTCCATATGCATGCAGAGCAGATGCTCTACCCCTGAGGTTCAGCCCCATCTCTTTTAGATACAAAGCCTCAGCCACAAATTTACTGGGTGCCTACAGGCCAACTGTAAACAAGGAACAGTGGAATGGGCCTTTAATTGGCTTCTGAACTGCCACTGGTTCAGGATATAGTTGCAAGATTACCAACAGGGACAGGTCCACAGGAGTGGTTCTCAAAGAACTGGGCTGCCTACCAACCTGTTTCTGCTTCCTTCCAGACAAACCCTCCCCAAAAGTTACATCTTGTGCACCCCTCTACGGGCCTTAAAGTCACATCTCATTTGGGGAACTCCCCCTGTTTTTTATCTGGTGACTACTGGCAGTTAGACCAGCATGGTATCGTGGTTACAGCTGGGAAACCTGGGTTCAAATTCACACTTGAATGAAGCTCAGTCCCACACTCCCAGCCTAGCCTAACTCACAGGTAAAATGGAGGGGGGAAAATCATGTACAGTGCCCAGCACCACTTAGGGGAAATATAGAACAAAAATGCTCTGGACCGGTGAGCAAGAATCTCGTTTGTCCTTGCAAAGAAGGGGACTTTAGGTATTGTGATACATTAGGCCATGTTTTTATATTGATAACTCGCCATTTCTATCACGATCACAGTTTTGTTGTGGATATTTTCATATTCCATCAGCTGCCTCAAGCACTCCATTGAGAGGGAGCCTAGAAATAGTTTTCAAAACGCTTAAAACATCTTCCTACCAGCTAGGTGCAGGGCTTCAGGATCTAGGCCAGTAGCTGCCCATGCACCACAACCCAAACCGGCCTCCAAACACTTCATCCTGTGGTGCCACTGACTGAAACAGCCACTCACCAGCAGGACATGCCGGATGCCCAGTTCTGCTTTCCAGTCTTTCTTGAGGACGTTCACGCAGATCTCGCCGTTGGCACCCACATTGGGGTGGAAGATTTTGGTCAGGAAGTAGCCTTTTGGTGGGCTGGCTGGGAAGTCCTTGCCAAGGATCAGCTTCATGCGGAAGAGGCCTCCAGAGTATGGCGTCCCCTCTGCAGCACGAATGGTAGGAGAAAGAATGGGTCTCAGCACAGTTTCAATCTGGATTTCCTACTCCCTGCACCCCACAAAGACAGGAAAAGGGGTTGAACCACTGGCCAAAAGTCCCAACATCCAACCAACATGGGCATGCGCTTCAATTTTTGCTTAACCCCGAAATCACGTGGCTTGGGGGTCAAACATACTCAGGAGACCAGTTTCTCCTTTATGACCACAACTTGAGTGACCTAATATCCAAAATAAAAAATGTCCTGCCTGGTATAAAGTATTAGGTACGCATGTATTGGCTACCATCGTCCAGTTCCCTACTGGAAGTCCCGCCTTGGCCAGCTCCTAAATGAGTTTTCACTGGCTCCATTCTTACTTTTATGTTTATTTCCAGATGACTACAAACGTTTTCAGCAGAGGTAACAGCTGAAATTCTTAGCATACCAAATTCTACACTTTTTATCACTTGGTGCTTCAATAGAGCTACATATACTGTTATGCCAAAATATTAATCAGGTACTTGGAATTCATTTCATTTGAAAAATCAAGCCCCTCTCTAGCCCTTTCTTTACTGGCATAAGCTTTTCTCCATATAACTCTGCAAGGAAAGGGGCTAGAGACTATTTTTAAAGTAAAGGCCAGGAATTCAGAGGACCTGACCAGTGTTCCCTCTAAGCTGAGTTAGTGTGAGCTAGCCCACAGATTTTTAGCCTTTAGCTCACACATTTGTCTTAGCTCAGAAAGGATGGCTCCAAAGCAAACTAATTTATACAGTAGCCCAATCGCTCGCTCACAACTTTAATGCCAGTAGCTCACAAAGTAGAATTTGTGCTCACAAGACTCCACAGCTTTAGAGGGAGCATTGGACCTGACACATATTTTAGCATAACAATATATTGATATACTATTAAATTGCTGATTGGAACAAAAAAAGAAAAAGCCTCTGCAGTACAGAGAAGAAACTGCTGCTGTATGGGAGGGATGACAAAAATGCAAACTTCCAGCTACACAGTAGCCACCTAGGCTTTGCCCTGATCTTTCCCAAACAACAGCACTAATGGCTTAGAGCACATGAAACAGTACTTGTCCTCTGGCATTCAATATGGATGTCACATCTGCACTAAGTCTATACCTGGACCACCAACAGCTAGAGTTGATCTTGAAATCTTATGCACTTGGATTTAGTCATCCCACTGGGCTTTCCCCCTTTCATACTACTCGTTGTGTCAGGGGCGCACAAAGCACCGGAAGAGGCCAAGTTCAATCTTCAGCATCTCCAGCTCAAAGATCTCGGAGTCTACCCAAAGCACTGGAGAGCTGCTGCCAATCAGAACAGACAAAACTGATCCTGATGGACCAATGGCCTGACTTGACAGAAGGTGGCTTCATGTGGTCATGATGTCTGGATCCCAATCATGGGACCTCTGATGAGCAATCAAATGAACTTGGCAATATATTACTCCTCCCCATACACTGAGCCCTCTCTGAGTCTACCGTAACTGAAACTGACAAGGCCTCCCTTAGCTGCTAAACAAGCTTCTGTCAACTCGATTTTCGGTGTGCTAGAAGAGCATTTTATGCATTTTTTGCATGTGTGTGCTGCTCTGAGATTAGAAAAGGTAACTAGAACTGTCAGTGGCAGGACTCCACCTTCAGAAAGACACAGAACTAAAGATCTCCCTCCCCCCCAAAAATAAAAAACTCCCGACTATGACGAGCAAGTGCATGGGGAGGAGAAAAAGGCTATCCCCTGCCCCCTTGCACAGAACCTCTGGACTAGAAGGGAAAGACTCAAGAGTTTCAGTGGAACACCTTCAGAATAAATCCTTCAGAGCAGAAGAGAACTGCCTTTTTAATATTTAAATATTTTTAGTAATGCAGCTATCCTTAACAGCTAAGACTTAAGGTGCCAGACTGGTTCTGGAACATTAGTTTCCCTATAAGCCCACTCTGTACAGTCTGTCCTCGCCCCAAGGCCACTGACAAACACCTTTTTGCAGCTCATAAAATGAAAGTCTCTGGTTTGCCCTGCAAGAGGAGGAGGAGCTGTGATTCTAGGAACTGTCTCCCCATCCCTGGCATAGATTAAGGGGTCATACTCCCCCAGAGGACACAGGAGTCCTGATCGCAAACTACAGATCTACACCACAACTGCATTTGGAATACTGCATACAATTCTGGCCACGGACTCAAAGGCAGGATAATACAAAGCATGAAAACTGCATTAATAGGCAACAAAGATTACTAAGGGGTTGGAACACGTAGGGGAAACACTAAAACATGAGGGACCTTTTCATTTAAGAGTGTAGTGTAATGGCTAGAATGTCAGATTAGGCTCGGGGAGACCCAGCTTGCTCTCGCATAGAACTCACTGGGTGACCTCTGGCAAGTCATTCTCTCAACCTGACCCACCTCTCAGGGCTGTTGTGGGAGAAAATGGGAGGAAGCCACGGATACCACATTAAATTCCTTGGAGAAAGGGTAGGATAAAAACATGCTGGACGGATAGCTAACAACTAAGGGAAAGGCATGACCAAGATTCATGAAGCCAAACATGGCACAAAAAAGGGGACAGAATGTTTTGTTCTTCCCTGTCCCACCACAGTACAATTAAACTGGAAGGCAATGGATTTGAAACCAACGTGAGGAAACACTACTCCTTCAAGTGCCTAGTTTACGGAACTAACTGCCTCCAGATGTTTGACGACAACTGTTTTAGACAGTTTCAAAAGGGGATTCAACTAAGTAACAGATTATTAGCTATAATAGGTAAACAGAACCTCCATGTTCAGAGGCAGTATATCTGAATGTAATCTGCTTAAGACAAAAAAACTGTTGCCTTCCAATCCTGCTGGTTTGCTGGCTCCCTAGAAATGTTTAACTACTGCAGGGGTTATGCTAAATGAGATGGACCTGTGGGCGTGGCCCAGTTCTGAGGCCCCCCCCCCTCTGTTATGGTCTCTGTGGAAGACACACACATAAAAACACCCCCTCCGTCCCTCCGGACAAAGCTCTCTTCTATTCATGTAGACTGGTCCTCCAGGTCCGGTTTTCACACTGAGCCACAAGGGGGAGCTCCCCCCCACAAGCTAGAGTAGCCCCTTGCAGGCAGAATCCCCTCTGGTTCCGGCAGCGTCCCTTCTTACCTGGTCCCTCAATGGTGACCTGCACATCTGTAATATCTTCCTCATTGGGGAACACCTTGATGCCCTCGGGCGGGTCTGATGTCAGGGTCGAGACTTCTTTGTACACAAGCCGGATCACGTGGGGTGGCAGATTTTCCACATTGGAATTCTGAAGAAAGAGAGATTAAAGAATGGAACATTACAAAAAGCTCCTCAGAAAGCAGGCAGGGCAGAGCTCAGCTGACCCCTGCGCAAATGACATCAGCAGAGTGCCCAACACTTTCAAGCAGGGCCAACAGAGGTTTACTTTGGGGGTTTCCTTTTGATCTTCTCTCTGTAATTTAATAAGGAATCATTAGAACTGTGACCAGCACTGGTGTCAGAACTAGGGCTGTCAATAACCTGGAGAAAATGTCCTATCCCTTTGACAGAGGCTGAATGTATAGAAATTAATAAGCGATTTTTTCGTACATGTGGCATGGAGACACATATCAACCTGCTTAATAATATCCCATTAAGGGGGATAGACATTTTTTTCCCCTCCAGGTTGTTGCCAACCATAGTCGGAACTGGCAAGAGTGTTCGGCAACAGGCAGGAGGGAGGACCCTTTCCAAGCATGGTCAGTGTCCATCTACATACATACAGAGCCCCAAACTATTTTCCTTTCAGACTTTCTCAGAGGTGACAAAAGAACAGAATGGTGCACAAAATGTGTTAACCATTGGCATGTCCTGGAACAGACCTAACGGTGCAGTGACATCCCGAGGTTAGAACATCACTTCCCAGTTTGGGCCAGGAAAGTTAGTCCCCTTGTTAAAAAGGTACTAACTTCTCAAAGATTTCACACAAAACACTGCCCCCTGCAAGTTCTCTGTTTGGAAACAAAATGGAACACTTACAGGTTCCCAACCCTGCCCATCTAACCCCACCAGTAAATTTACACGCAGGCATGTGCTGGCAGTGGGCTGTTTCATGTAGTACAGAAGTAGACATCGCTTTCCAAATGGCACACAATTCAACTGTGCTTTTCCCCTTCAGCCGGCACCCAGAAGTCAAAAACAGAACAGGAAAAGAATAAATGTGTGCCGTCAAGTCACAACGACTCACGGTGACCCCAGGACCAGGCGTTCTCAAGGCAAGAGGCAGGCAGAGGTGCCCTGCCATTGCGATCCTCTGCACAAGCAGCCCCAGTCCTCCTGGGTGGGCCCCCATTCAAGTGCTCACCGTAGCTGACCTGCTTAGCTTCCAAGCTCTGATGAGATCCAGTTAGGCTTGGCTATCAGTGCAGGAAAACCTTATTTCAATGGTAACGTCCTCCTCTTTGACAACTGTTTGAGTGGTCTCCTCACTCGAGCTCACTTGCTTGTCCCCCCCCCCCAGTTTTAAAGGCACAGAGAGGCACTTACAACCCATGATACACCCCATGAGAGCTTTCAGTACAAAGTATGAATATTATTTATTAGTATGTTGCAAAAGCTGCCAAACCCAGGGTGGCTGTTTGGGTGCCAGTCTTGCAATACAGCATTCAAACATGGTCGTTCAAAGCCAGTTTTGGGAACATCGTGCTATAATATCTTGGGTGAGAAAACCCATCAGATTTCTCACAAAGCCAGGCATCATCTTCTAAAAGAACAGACACCTAAGGTAGAGAAATATGTAATACGCAGCTCACTGATTCCTCTCTGGGGCTATCCAGATGTTGTCCTATTTCACCCTCACACATTTTACACAGGGAGTGGCCTTTTACCAGTTGAACTGCTGCCTGAACAAGTCTCTTCCAGAGCTGCAATGACCGCCCACCCCACTTAAAAGAAGAGAAATCAGGAGGAGGTGCAGGATTGTAACCCCCCTGCCTCCTCCCACTGTCTAACCACCCACATCAATGGCTGAAAACAGAAGATTCTACACTTACTTGAACACACTTCCCCCAAACCCTGCAAGATGAAACATTCCTAAAAAAACAGAAAAGTCAGCCTCACAGTATGAGGGAAGATCCCACATTCCAGCATACCCAGGAATGCACCATGAGATAAACAAAGGAGGGGAGCGAGCCTGCCTGAAGGCCGTTCCCACTCTCCCCTAAGGGAACAGAGGACTCATACACCCCCCCTCCTATTTATCATTCCTTGGACAACTGACAGTACCCACCTGCATCCTTAAGAAGGAAAAAACTGACCCACGTGGCTAACCAATGTTGGCACACAAGCCAAACCATCTTCCAGTGAAGGAAACCCCTTGCGCTTTGGGAGGCCCAAGTCGAAAAATCCCGGGCAGCTCTTCAACTTTTCACATATTTGCGGGTGCATATTTTCACCACTTTGCTTTCATTTCACTGAAGGGCAAAGCTTAATTTTAAAAACCCTGAACAGCCATTTCCAGCCTCCTCCAGCTTTAGAACAAAAATAGGGGGAACGGATGGCCTTTTGCAAGTTGCCCACTCCCTACTGAAAAGCAGCAATCAGGTCTACAGCCTTTTCTTATCACATCTCTCTTCTACTCCAGTTGCATTAAGAGCTCTGCTTCCGTAAGACCCACGGCAATGAGGTTTAAGGCAACTTAGTCCGATTTTCTTTCACTACCCACTTAGCCACACAGCATAATTCAGTGAGGCAGATCAACAGTCATGGGGAAAAGAACACAGATTCTCCTTCCTGTTTAGAGGTTCCTCACCTAGTCACCTAAAGGCAATTCTTATTCACCACAGGTGACCAGGCACAGAGGACTGCCTTAAGAGTACTCCCAATTTGTCCCTAATGAAGATTTCATATACAGAACACTGCAAACATCCCGGGATCTTCTGCAGCAACCATTAAAGGATGCTGCGTTCGAAAACATTTCAGGCCAAAAAGGAATGCACAGGGTGCCCATATTGCTTGTTTTCTTGGGATCTTCAACCACCAGTGCAAACCAGATTCCACCACAGAGTACCTCCCATAAGCCTAAAAAAACTCTGACCCCACCAACAGTACACAACTGCTTCTAATAGGAGTTCCAATAGTAAAGCATTATTATAGACACAGAACAGCAACAATATATCAACTTGGCCTCTGACCAGTGGATGCTGGTCCATTCTAGCACCTGTTTGGAGGAAAGAGGTGTCCTGGGAAACACCCAAGGGCCAACTGACCAAAAAAACCCACAAACCAATGGCAAGGATGAAAAAAGCACACAGGACCCAGCAGACACACATATGGCTTCTTCTTTGGAAACATTACTTCCCCCCTCCCTGTTCGTTCCCAAACAAAGAGCGAAGAAGCACCTAGTGGATTCTGAATTATCGTGGAAGCACGTTTTTCACACACGTACTGCTGCCTGCCTGAAAAGACCTTCTGCTGCAATGAGCCCCTGCCCTCCCACCCGCTGGCAAAAGATACATCCCATGAGAAGCGTTTACAATTAAACACATCAGGAAACACGCAGCAAAGGTCGAAGTGGGTGCAGGCCTCAGGAGAGAGAGAGGAAGGTTTTAAAAGGCTCTGGCAAAGGTGTGCCGTTCAGAAGCACAGGAACCTAAAGTAGATTCAAGTCAGGATATAAGCCCCCCTCTCCCAATAAAAGGCTTACTGGAGTCATACACCTTAAAACAGTCTTGTTTTAAAATGGGAAGCCCTTGCTGCACACCAAGACCTAAAGACATGAAAGGCCTTGATATTAAAAAAAAAAAACCCCTTCAAGACTGATTGCCGAAATAGTTTACCAGAGCAGAGTAGGTTTTGCATTGAGGAAGGGGGGGGGGACACTTTTTGCTAAGAAAAACGTAAAGTATAAAGTTGTCCAGACACTAAAATAACTGCCTCAAACACCTCTTAACAAGAAATCCCTAACAGAAATCTACCCTCCTGTCCAAACTGAAGATAGTTTTCTTTAGGACTACATTTAACTAATGTCATTTTTATTTACTGGCAGTCCAAATGGGAGCTCTCTAAATTGTGACTTCTGATATGTTTCCATAATTATTGCCTTACATATACTGTTCTATTGCATTGTTATAATCATTTTATTCATATTGAAAACCACCTTGAGTGCAGCAAGAGAGAAAGACAGCTAATAAATATTTAAAACAAATATATAGGACTTGAGAAACTATACAGCAGAATAGTTCAGTAGCATTTAATAAAGCAATGGCATGTTGTTGAAGGAGGTGAAGAAAAGGACAGAAAGGCCTAAAGAAAATGTCTTGTACTAGGAAATCCAATAGAAGGTGGTGGGGAGGGGAAGACATGCACAAAGCAGCTAACTGGCAGAAAGGGAGGAAGTTCAACTTTTATAACTCAACCAATGTGATCCCACTAAGGAATCGAACTAAGAACTAAGATAAGCTAAGCTGGCCACTACTAGAAGCAAAGACTTACTGCCGTGTTCACACCATGAAATCTAGAATCTCCAAATTACAAGAGTTTTAACCCAAAAAGTCTATATTGTTGATATGCTGCATAACTAGGGATGAAAGGGCAACAAGGAATGATAGGATATTAAATATAATAGGGATAATGTGTGATGGGGGAGACGCCAAAGTTCTTCCACGCATACAATACTTTGTCGCCACTCCCTTTCATCCTTATTAAGGCCCAAATGAGGCTTGAAGTGCCTGTGTTCTTTAATGCTCAGAGACAGGAGCTTCCCTTCAAAACGGTAGTACTTTTCATTCCCTTTCCCACAGACTCAGGCCTACTTAGGCTGACTCTTCAGTTTTAAAGGGGCTTTTTAAGGTACTTATTTGGCACAAGAAAGTTCAAGTTCCTTTCCTCCTGTGAAGGAATTTCCACAGGGACTGCAGCGATTCTCCTAAGAGAAATGGAGTGTCTCCTCCGCTTACCCTTCTGCATACCTGGAACTTAAGCACAGTCCAACCCTAGAACCTTACCTTGAATGCAGATTTCACCCCCATGACCCCATGGAAAACCTCAATCATCTTTTGCAATCCAGCAACTAAAGCCTAACACTAGGATCATATCACAGTTTAGCAGACCCCAGTGCCAGTTCCCACCCACCCCCATTGCATGAGGGATCCCTCCCTAATAAGAGTTCGCTCCCTTTCTTCCAGTTGCATTTGAAATACACGTGCTGCACACACAAAGATGAAAGACCCCTAAATCTTTGTACCGAGGCACACGGGACTCTAGGCTACTCCTCTCCGTAGAAGGTTAGGAGCCACGATATCACAACCCCCAAAATTCTGAGGTGGGTGCCACGGGGAAAAGAGAACATTCAAACAGGTGGGCACCCAGAACCAAAAGCCACTCACCATTGTGCTGGGTCTGCACGAAGGGCTGTAGAGTACCGCCGTCTAAGCCTGATCTTTAGAGGGATCACATATGCGCCTCACTCTACAGTTGATCACTTCTGATCAAATACCTTACTTAACCTCCCCCCCCAACACCTCGCCCCCTAGTACTGTGGTCAGAAAGCCCCAATCCCAATTTGGAAGGCGCCCAAACCCGTCGTTTAAGAAGTTCTTCCTTTTCCCGTGTATTTATGGGGGACAACCGGAGACCCCGCTTCCGCCTCCCCCCTCCAGATTGTTGTCCGCTCTTCTGTCACCCTCAATTTAATGAGGGTGGCCGGTGCCCAGCAAAGGCTTTTATAAACCTCGGCCACGGCCGGCCACACCCCTTTCGAACCCAGGCCGCCCAATCAGGCCGGTTAGAACGGAGGGGGTCCGTTCCTCCCCCCTCCCTTCTCGGGTCTTCTCCTCACGGAGAGCCGTTGACAACCAATGTCCGCGACGGCCGACAGCCAATGGGGAGAGTCGTAGTGGATGGGCGGTTCCATCGAGCCTGATTGGAAGGATTTGAATATGAACGTTTGGGAGAACGGCGTTTTAAAGGGAAGGAGGTTTGTTTACCGCTAACGGCTGCGGGAAGGAACTGGGCGGGGCGAGTTTCAAAAAATTGGATTGACGTGATGGTTTGCCAATAGGAGTGACTACGATGGAGAGACGCTGATTGAGGGAAAGGAAAATTGACGCAGGCTAATAGCCAATTGGCCGCGGTAAAAGGGGCTGAAGGGGAAAACCTACTTTCTCTGTTTTTCCTTGTTCAAACAAAGCGGGCCTGTCGCTAATTGGATAGATGAGGAAAGTAGACCCACCCAACTGATGGATGAGGCGGCTAATTAGAGTTGAGAGAATTTAGATTAATCTACTGATGTATATTAATATGCTGTAGAAAAGAGCAAGAGTCCAGTAGCACTTTACAGTGAGCAGTGACCCCAGAAAGCTGAAAGTATCTGAAGAAGTGAGCTAGGGTTGCCAGGTCTGGGTTGGAAAATACCTGGAGACTTTGGGGGTGGAGCCAGGAGAGGGTGGGGTTTGGGGAGGGGAGGGGCCTCAGCTGCGTACAATGCCACAGAGTCCACCCTTCAAAGCAGCCATTTTCTCCAAGGGAGCTGATCTCTGTCAGCTGGAGATCAGTTGTAAAAGCGGAAGATCTCCAGGCCCCACCTGGAGGCTGGCAAGCCTAAAGTGAGCAGTGAGTTGCCAAAGCTCATACCCTGCCACATATTTTGTTAGTCTAAGGTGGAGCTGCGGTGGCTCAAGTGGTTAAACTGAACTGCAGGCTGTGGAAGGTCAGTAGTTCAGCAGTTCGAGACCGGGTGCCGCAAGACGCTCCCGTCTCTGGTTCCAGTTCCTGCCAACCTAGCAGTTCGAAAGCAAGAAATTGCAAGTAGATAAATAGGTACCACTTCGGTGGGAAGGTAACAGCGTTCCGTGCGCCTTGGTGTTTAGTCATGCCGGCCACATGACCACGGAAACGTCTTCGGACAGCGCTGGCTCTTCGGCTTTGAAACGGAGATGAGCACCGCAACCCTGGAGTCGAATTCGACTGGCTTTCGAGCAAGGGAACCTTTACCTTTTTAAGGTGCTACTGGACTCGCTCTTTTCTGCTGTTGTAGACAAACTAACAGGGCTACCCATCTTGATCTATATTAATATGCTGGGACACAATAGAAAGAGAGTGGAAATTAATCCGAAAATTAACTGCTGGCTAAGGAGATGGTGTCAAGCTCAAAAATTTGTGGCCCCAAAAGGACAGCTTTATATATGTATTTTCACACCAAAAAACAGGGGTCATTTCCTGCAGGAGCGCACAGGAGCGGAGCTCCGGCAGTAAAGAGCCCAGGGGGCGGGCACATGTAATAAGGCCCACCCCCTGCTCCCAGCAGCCCTCAGTCAGAGCAAGAAGCAGCCAGGTAAGTTGCAGAGCTCCCTCCCCCCGGCCCCCCAGTCCAAAACAGTCCAGTGGCACCTTTAAGGCCAAGGTTTATTCAGGTACAAGCTCTCCCTCCTCTGCGAGGACAGGATCTGCACGTTCTCTCCCCCCCCCCATAGCTAGCAATCCAAAACAGTCCAGTGGAGCCTGAGCGGTGGGGGTTGCCTTCTGTGACACCCTTCCAGTGATGTCAGGGGGTGTGGCATATGCAAATAAGTTATGCTAATGAGCTCCTGCACCTCTTTTTCTATGAAATGACCCCTGCCCAAATATTAATGCCACTTCAGTTCACTCATAATTTTCACCCGAAATATTGATCCCACCTCAGTCAAAAAGCAAGTATCTTATGAAAACTTCAAGTTCTCCAGAACTCTCCATCAAAAAGCAGACAGAGAGTCCAGAGATCCCCACCCGCAGACTTTTTAAAATAACATTTGGAAGAAAGTGTTAGGTTGGTGTAACTATAAGGTATGGCAAGAGGGAGGTCAAGGTTGCAGTCACACGTACCAGAAAAAACGGGAGGGGGAGCGAGGCTATTTCTTCCGGAGGAATTTGATCCCGCAGTTGTGCAATCACACTGCCCTTTGAAGCTGCGGGCGCTCTCCGTCAGTGCACGATCAGATGCAACTGCGGGTGAGTTGTGGGGGGTTTTGTGCCATTTCCCCCTATGCGCTTAACTGAGGGATTGATGAATCCGCACCTCTGCACCAAGGGCTCCCTATGGAGTTTGCTATGGTGTGCATACTGCGAAGGGGGGGGGGGACAATGGCATGGAGTTGGGATGGCCGAATCAGACCATCCCAACGCCATGAGAGTGTGCTGGAGTGATCAGACACGGGAAAGTCCGTCCGTGGCCCGTCGCAACCTGTTTACTATTGGGTTTTCCTTGGTGTCTTTTAACTCCGCTTCTGTGGCGGAGCAGAACGGGTTGCCGACGGCTGTGGGGCGCTTCCTAGATGTTTTCATCTGATTGCACCCTTTAAATCCGCACGGCAATGACACCTATGTCGGGTCTAATTGCGTGTATGATTGCAGCCCAATATGGCTATGTGCTTTCCCCCCCTTCCCTATTTCAACTCCGTTATCATTTTTACCTACTGCTACTGAAGATGGCACCCACCACAAGTGGCTGCGTGCAGCAGCTGGGGACCCCTTTCTACCCTCAGCCCTCTGATGATCTATCACAGCCTGTCATGCAGGGCACCCTACAAGTGACCCCAAAACAAGAAGTAGGATCCCTCTTCAAAAAAAGGACAAAATTTGTACATACCACTTTATAGATGCAAATGTAAAAACAGCAGCCATTTTAAAACAGAAATACAACTCATCATAGTGCCAGTTCTGTCTGTCTTTTCAAGGCCCCTCTCTGCTTTCTTTTCTTATGACTCATCTTTAATTCACCCCAAAGCAACCTGGTTAGTTGTGCAGCCCTTCTTCCAAGAGCAGGAAGCATTCCAATACCTGCTTAGGAATCAAGCCTCCAAGGAGTTGCCAACTGTGGCTCGGGAAGGTCCTGGAGCCCAGAAGGGGCAGGGATGTGATGCCATAGGATCCACCCTCCAAAAAATGCCATTTCCTCCAGGGTAAGTGGTCTCTGTGGTGTGGAGATCAGTTATAATTCTGTGAGAACTCTAGGCCCGCACATGGAGTTTGGTAACCCTAAACCTGTACAGTAACTTCAAGTTGATTTTACTGGACAGAAGGAGCAAAGCCTCAACATTTCAAAGTACAGACATCAGGAAAAAGAAGAACATCTGGCCATGACCCAAAGGCCATGCCTTACAACCACACAAGGGCCTTTTACAGACAAATAGTTCCTGTGCAGCTCTTTGCGTGTGTGAACTGGCCAAGTTGCGTGGAACAGGGGAAGCATGCCACAAACTAGAAACCTCAAAGGGCCCAGAAGACCCAGCTTCAATGTTTGACAGCCCTGCTATAAGTAATCTTGCATATCAATGAGTCAATGGAGGGGACATATTTGAAACCCAGTCTGAACTGGGATTAGCTTCTGAAGAATGCTAATGAGATGATATATGCAAATAGCTTGCTCTGGGAGATAATCTTGAATGTTAATGAGGTGTGGAGATGGATATTAGCTCAGCCACTTGGATCCGAAAAAGAATATAATCTCAAATATTAAAGATACTTAATACCCGGGAGAAAGTGTGACTTAGCTGAGTACATTCATTGGCTGTGGTGATTTTTTTTTTTCTTAAAAGGGTGGCTGACAGTGAAGGGAAAAAAGCATATTACACCATCAGCCTTCAAGGCCAGCATTTTACATTACATGGCAGCTAGCCCGATCACTGTGTGTATGCGCATTGGGGAACCACAGTAAATGTCGGCCTCCTAGAACATTGATCCATGAGAGATATACCTTCCTGAACGTGTTTACCATGTACACATATTAAATTTTTAATCTGCACACATAAAATGAGAATCACCCATACATGTCCAAAACATAGTGCATGAAGAACGTTCAAATCTCTCTGCTTTATCACATGTGACCGGCAGTAATTGCACCAACGCTGTGCACCTTTGCACAGAAGAAGAGGAATCTGTTTTCATACCCCACTTTTCACTACCTGAAGGAGTCTCAGAGCGGCTTACAATAGCCTTCCCTTCCTCTCCCCACAACAGACACCCTGTGAGATAGGTGGGGCTGAGAGAGTTCTGAGAGAACTGTGACTGACCCAAGGACACCCAGCTGGCTTCATGTGGAGGAGTGGGCAATCATACCCAGTTCTCCAGATTAGAATCCTCTGCTTCTAACCACTTATACCACACACAGAGATGTGCTGGTGGGGAAAGCTTATACCTGCTGATTTTCAGCCCGTCATGCTGCTTTTAAAAACATATAACCTCAGGTATAAAAAAATGCAACTGTTTGTTAGGACTCTTCCTCCCACTCCGTGAACCTGAAAAGCTGGAATCTTTATACCTAGTGCGCTGCAGTCTTTGACCACTAAAGGGTTTTGGGTTGCTATGTGTGTCATTTATAAATTCTGTACAACACTTAAAATAAATGTAATATACATAAACTTCTGCATATATCTCTTGTGTTGATCTACACAAAGATGGCATTAAGCCTGGGTTCTGTAAAAGGGAACCCTGGGCCAGCAGTCACTCATTCCTTCATGCTGCCTCCCAAATTCTTGATTTCCACATCCATGTTTTTCATATGCTGCAAAGACAAGTCCAGTGAAAATTTGGTTCTCATTGGAATTGAAGCAAAGTTGCTTTGGCTTGTTGTTTGTTTTTAATTTGGAAGCAAGAGATTTGTGTGGATTTGCAGTGGGAAACTCCCTCAGCCATGAAGCGTAAATAATTGTTCTCATATTGTATGTGTGCTAAAGGCTGTCAAGTCATAGCCTACTTAACAGTGGCCTCCGTGGTGTTCTCAAGGCAAGAGATGTACAGAGATGTTTTGCCACTGCCTGCCTCTGCATAGTAAACCTGAACTTGCTTGGAGGTCTCCTATCCAGGTACTACTTAGAAGGTTGTTCTCATGTTG